GGTGCAAACATTTTTGAGGGTAGAGTTGAACTGCCACCTTGCCAGGTGGGAATGGAAAGGACAAGGCAAGTCAGGCCCTGGATGCTGGGTCCAGGCTGCTGCCCAACTCCCACCCCCAAGAACATGGGGTGGGGGGAGAGGAGCTGCCCCCAACCCCTCCCACGACAGCCCTGTGTTCAAATGCTTGGTGGAGGACGAGCCAGATGACCTCTCAATTCCACGACTTCCTGGCCTAAGAAAACCGATCTGCTCTGAACGAGCCCAGTCAGCCGTTCTCACCAACTGGAGGCTCCTGTGCATGCAGCGGGCATTCAATAAATAGTTGTGGCATGAGTGAACGGACTCAATTGGGACCCCAACAGCCCAGTAAGCCTCAGAGCCCGCTGCCAAGTTCAGTCAAGGGCAGTGAAGCACATGGAAGTTTGCAGGCAAAGGGCAAGCCCCCCACCCCGGGAGGAGGCTGCAGGCAGTTTCTGTGCTCTCTGGGGTGGGCCAGTGGGATGGAGGCTGACCTGCGGCGCTTTCCTCCAGGTAGACACAGTACCCACTCGGTCTCGCTGTCTGGGCGGGGACTATCTCTTCTCTACCCTCTTTCTCCCCACCCCCTCTTGATTGACACCATTGCTGGCTCTGACATGATTTAAAAATAGATATTAAGACAAGGAGGTTTAATTTTTAATGCTTTGGAGAGGAAGTGAAGACAGAGCCGGCATTCCCTCCTGGCTGTGCTCTGGGGTCTCGGCACATCTGCCAGGCCCTTCCTTCACCTGCCACTTTTCTCCCAAGCAGAATCCAGACTGACCGACCCCAGAGATCTCCATGGAGCAGCCCCTTGGGGATACAGCCTGATACCTCGCTCCCAAGCACCTTGGGAAGACGCTCAGTGTCTCATGCTGCCCCCTTTCACCTTTATCTGCTCTTTGGAGAGGCCACATCTGAACCCCAAGTTCTTCATTTGAACCCACAAGTTCCTCAGCCCACTTGCCACATCTATTTCCAGACTGAGGCACCCCACAGACTTTTTAGGATGTTCCAGGTCACCCAGCACAGGTTTTGCCAGGCCCCAGTCCTGGGCACCATGGACCAAGGGGGAGCATGGAGCCCATAGAGGCACTAGCAGCGTGGCCACGCCAGCACTGTGTGCCTGCAGGGTTGCCTGCTCCCGGCTGAGAGGGGCCGGCTGCCACCATCTGACTCCATTTAAATAGGAGGTTAATCAAGGTTCTCGCCCCACCTCCTGCCGGAGGCAGCCCTCCTCCACCAGGCCACTGAACACTGCCCCTTGGCTAATTGGCCTTCATTAAAGGGAATGATCCACAGGAACAGACTTTCCAGTGGGGGCAGAATGTCACTGCTCTGCGGCCGTGATTTAAAGTGATGGGACAGCTCTGCTGGCAAGCAGGAGAAGTGACCATTACCTGAGTGGCAACCATGCCAGCAACCAGCCCCACCCCCGCCCCTCCATGTCAGCCAGGAACTTGATTTTGGTGGAGAGGAGGTGGGCTGGGATCACAGCTTGCTGTCCAGACAGGGGGACACAGGCCCCAGCACCCCCTCTCTCCCCTATTCAGATCTAAAAGTTCGGAGACTCCTTGGACCTCCTGGAGAAACCTAGATTTATTTCACCTCTGTGAGTCTCCCAGAGGACTAGAGAGAGGGCTAACTAAGGGAAAGCTCTCCCTGGCTCCCACTGCTGGGGAAACCACCTTGTAGGGGGGCTGCTTACTAGAAGACAGGCCCCTCAGGAAGCAGAAACGTCTGTCCCAACTCCTGCTTCCTGTCCACCATGAAACTAGTATTCTCTTTGCCCTAAGGATGAGGGTGAGGTTTGTAGGGGACAAGAGGAGGTGGGTCTCAGTCAGGCATGACTACAGCTCCCCTCCTCTGCCCCCACCATCTATATCAAGCCCTCAGAAATGCAGCCCCGGGTGCCAACGTGGCTAGCACCACCTGGTTGAAGGCCGCAGTGCCAGGAGCAGACCTGGAGTCCTCCCAGCAGCCTGTAGGGCACCTGCCCCTTTCTAAGGAGAAGGAGTATGACCACACAGCCCCGCCTCCCATCCTGCCCCAGTGATATCACCCTGCGTGGCCAATACCCACACCCTAGAAGCTCCACCCGGTGGCAAGGACCCAGGGGCTGTCAGGCCTGCGAGGGGTTGCGGGAGCAGACAGCTGCACCTCTCCTCCACACTGGGCATCCTCCCAAAGGCTCTGAGAGGCAGGGGGTGTGGCAGCCAGGGTGGGTTTGGAGAACTACCAGGTAGGCTTGGGACCTACGGGAAGATCTCTGGCTATTGATTGCAGGCCTCGGGTCAACTCTAATCCCTCAGGAAAGCCTCCTTTTGGGATCTGGGCCATGAGACTGGAAGTGGAGGCTACATCATTCCTAATGATCGCTCTGGGTCCCCGAGGGCTTGGGCTCTGACTGGCCCTGCATGCCTCTTTGCCCCTTCCCGTCACTCCCCTCCTGTGCCTCTCTTCCCGGTGTATGCTGGAAAGCAGCAGCTCTCCTTGGGCCCTGCTTCATCAACCCCACCTGCCTTTAGCCCGAAAGCCTTCACTTTTTATCCTCTCATGTGCTTCTATCCCGCACCTCTTCTCCACACCGGTCTCTTCCTTCTGCTGAATTCTCCATCTTTCCTCAGGTCTCTGTCTTATTTCATTATCTCACATGCTACCAGCATAAAAGAACTGGTCTTTGAGACCATGTGCTTCCCAGTTCATACCCTGTCATGGGAATTCTGAAAATATTAAGTAATTATAAAAGTCAGAAACTAGGAGAGAGAGCGCCCCTGCCTGGTTAAGAGAACAGCAGGAGGCACCCACTGGACAGAAGAGACAGCAAGCTTCCACAATGGCCATAGAGGGAGGCCACACCACCGACCAGCTCACGAACCTCTGCCCAGTGGTTACGGGGCGATGGGAATGGTCACCTGTCACTCCACAGTTGAAGTGCCAGGAGAGCCTTTATCATAGGCAAGTTTGGAAACTTCTCTTCCTTTTCAGGTGGGACTTGGAAATACCTACATCATGATATGTGGACTTACTGCTCTGGCCCTCCATTCGTTCACTCAAAAACAGATAATGAAATCCTTTTATAAGCAGGGCACAGACTGCTATGCCAGCCAGCAGGATGCTCACCACACCAAGTTAGGACCATCCTAGAGAAGAAAGGAGCCACGGGCGATTATTCCTCCTCCGACCAGCAGGTGGCGGGGTGGGGGTGGGGGAAGAGCTCCGCTGAGGGGGCCGTACTGGCCCAAGGCGCTCAGGATCCCCAGGAGGGTCTTTCTAGTAAGAGTTAAGATCTGCAGAGTGAGGCCAGGCAGAATGGAAGGAAGGTACGTTGAGACTCTGAGCTAGGCCAGAGAGGGAAGCAGGGTCATGTTGTGAGGGTGGCACTCATGTAGATCTGCAGGCAGCAGAGAAATTCACACCAGTGCTTGGCTGACACAGGACAGGGAGCATTTGCCTGAAGGTGGCCACAAAGTCACTCGACACTCCAAGGATTCTACCCCGGTTTCCCCAAAACTGGGGATGAAGGGCCCAGACCATGGAGATACTCGGGAAATTCAACTCAAAGACCAGGCTCAAATGGAGCGCCTCAAAAGAAAAGTTGTGGCTTATGCCCCAGGCAGAGAAGGCGATCTGTCCCCAGGGTGAAGGCAGGGACACAGGATGCCCCCAATAATAAGGTGAGCACATGAGGAACACCACCATCACAGCCCCCACTGGGCTGGAAAGGAAAGCCAGTCCTTTACGGAGAAAGTGATTTCCCCAAGGTCACAGATGAAGCTAATGCAGAACCAGACCAGAACCTGGTCCAGTACCGAGCTTTCCCCTCCGTGGGAAAAGTCTAGTACATGTGTGCAACACACACCTGAATAAGTTTTTCAATGAAAGCGGGTTCCCTCTACCTAACTTCACTCTGAATGACTTCCTCCTGCTTCCAGAGCTCCTCCTGGACCCGGGCAGCTGATCTGGATCAGCGAGGCAAGAGGACAGGCCCTGGGGCAGAGCCAAACATCTGTACGACTGTGTCTGGGCTCCAGTAAAGAAAGGCGGAGGCAGCAGATGGGATGAGGGAACAATTAGATACGAACTTATGAAGTTTTCAGATTTGCCTGACTGGCATTTCTTACAGGAAGACACAGCCTCCAGGACCACAGGGGGCTGAATGCCATTCCAAGCTGCCCCACCCACTGACACCTTCTCTAGAAAATCACCTCTCACCCAGGATGGGGGCACTCCTGACCGTCACCCTTTGTCCCTTCCTCCCTGGGCTCCTGGAGCTGGGGAGGGCTGGAGTACGGGGCAGAAGCACATGGCTAGCCCAGCTCCCTGCCCAGTCCGGTCCACTGCAATCCCTCAAAAGCAGCAGCCTGCCACCCCATGGCAGCATCCAACCCACATCCCTGCTTTCCCGCACAAACCCTAACTCGGGGCCATATCTGCAGGGTAGCAAGCAGTTCCTAGGCTTGGGATAGGGGCTCTGCCTCCTTTTTCGGGATTCACCGAAAGGAGTAGGAAGAATTCACCTCTACCCCCACCCCCACCTCATTCCCATAAAATGCTGCAGATTATACTCTTGAGTAATCAGGGATGCCAGAAGAACTCAGAACACCAGCTACACCGTGCCACTGTGCCTGCTTCAATCTCAGGGCTTAGAATTCATATCCCGCACCGGTTTCTGCAGGTTCCCAGGTTGGAGACACTTCCAGCGTGGCTTTCTCATAGGGGAAGGAGGAGGCAGCAAACTTTGTCAGTCTCCTAGGAGCAGAGCAAGTCTCTCCTGGAAGACAGCGAGTTGGACCCCGGTTCTGCCACCCAGGAAAGAGCAAGGAAGAGAAAGATACAGGAACCGGAGGAAACCGCTTTTTTGGAAGCCCACTTACCGTTGTGCAGGGAGCTGAGCAATGCAGCGCCCAAGAGCAAGGGGAGAGCAGAGCGCGCCATGGCGAGCGGAGAAGAGGCTCCGGGAGAGGCGCCGCAGGACTTACCCAGAATATCAAATTGAAGACGAACATCATGTACTTCAAGCAGCAGAGGCAGCCCCTGGCCATGTTGCACTTCTTAAATTCTAGGAGGAAAACAAAGGACAGGTCCAGGTAAAACACCACGTACTTGCTGCCTTTGGGGGCATTGTACTTGTCGGTCTTCACGCCGCCCTCGGCGCGGCTCTGGCCGCGGGAGCCCGCGGTGCCATAGAAAGCGCCCGCCGTGAAGCCGCGGCCGAACGGGCGGCCCGAGGTGGACGGCTTGGCAAAGTCCGAGTCCTTGCTGTCCAAAGATGGACTCCGGTGGATCGACGAATCCTCGCTACTCGACTTCTCCATGCTCGCGCGGTTCCCGGGGGGCGCGAGGGGCGGCGGGCATCGCTCCCGGGGCGGGACGGAGGGGACGCCCGGGCCGGGCGCGGACCGCAGCGGGGCGGGCAGAGCCTCGCACGCCCCCTCCCCGGGTCGGGGCGCGCTCCAGGCCGAGCCCGGTGGGGCCTCGGACGGCGCCCGGCTCCGGGTCGGCTGGCCCGGGGAGCTCTGCGGCGCGGCGCGGCCGGGCTCTGCGCGCCCGAGAACGCTCTCCGGGCACGGGCTCGTCTGCGGGACTTGCGTCTTTGGAGAGGCGGTAACTGGATTTCTCTCTTCCAGAGCGTCAGCTCGCCCCGGGCTGCACCGGCCGCTCCACGCGACGCGCAAGGGCGCGCGGATCGGGCTCGCCGGGCACACCTCTCGCGGTCCAGCCCCCGCGCCGAGCCCGACCCCGGGGAGGGCGCTCCGCCTCCTCCCGCCCGGCGACTTCGCGGGGCCGCTCGCCCGCCCCGGGCTGCCGGGGCGCAGGGCGGGCAGTGCCGAGGGACCCGCCGCAGCTGCCACCGCGGGGCTTTCCCTGCGAAATCCCAGCCCCGACTCCGAGATCGCCCGGAGCCCCTTCCCAGGACCGCGGCCCGCCCCCTGCTTTGCATTCGGCCAATAAGCGCGAGGCCTGCGGGGGGAGGCGGCCTCCCCCTCCTCAGTGACACCATAGCTCTAATAGGATTAGCGTCCCGCCCTGCGCCTATGCGAGTGCCGCGCGAGCGCGCTAAATGTCAAGGGCTGGAGCTGGGGAGGAACCTGGACCTTCGGCGGAAGGCGCTGGTCGCCTTCCGTGGAGGGGAATGGTCGGAGGGGCCCACGACCCAAGAAGCTGAGGTCTGCGCCCCTGGCTATCCGGCCTCCGCCCACTGTGCACACCGGGGCCAGTCCGACCCGGGCCACCCGATCTCCTGGCCACACACACACGCACACACCCATGGCTTTGCACACGTGGGTCTGGCTGCGCAGGGAGAAGGCCCGCAGGGGAGGCGCGAGGTGTGGGAAGGGCGCTGGGGGCCCTGTGCGCGCCGCCTTCCCCGCCCCCACGGCGCGCGCGCGCACTCGCGGCTCCGCCAGGCTCCTGCAGCTGCGCGAGCCCCCGCCCCCGCGCTCCGGGCTGGGACGCCGAGCTGAGGAGAGGAGGTGGCGGGAAGGGGGTCCCGCCTTGCCCCTCCGCGTCTTTATCTGCCAAGGGTGATGTAGGAGTGCTCTTGGACACAAGTTGGGGCCTCTCCAGGAGCAGTGCTTGGAAGGGCTGGCCAGGCAACAGCAGGAAGAATGCTCTTGCTAGGGGTTTGGGAACACCCACCAGCAGCCCTTCATCCTAAATAAAACACTGCACCTGCGTCCCCTGGCGTGTGCAGAAGTTCTGATGCCGACGTGGGGCTAGCATAGTTGGCAAAGACTAGCAGACTTGGGAGGTGAGAAGCCCACCTCTGAGCATGCTGGGACACACACACCCAGCCCCTTCCAAAGGAAGGTTCTAGTCTTATTAGGCCCTGATTCCCCAGCACCTACCACCGTGCCTGGCTTCCAGGAGAATCTGGGCAGGTGGCTGGATAGAAGAATGCATGCCTTCCCTGGCAATGTGAAATGCCCCCCAGGGTCCCATCAGACACTACTCCACACCTGCTGTGTGCTGAGTGCAGAGCCAGGCCCCTGAGGAAACATGGAAGGTGTGCTCCCTGCCCTTCAGCACAGACAACCTCGAGGGTAAGACAGAAGGACGCCAATCCCCAAGACCATGGGCTGGAAACAGCACCACACCGGCTCTGGCTATGGGGGGAAGTAGAGGGACTTCAAGACCTTCATCACAGGCCTAATTCCTGGACGCCAAGCTGGTGAGCAGGCCCCTTCCGGACTCCCAGGCAGACAGGCGGAGTTCTAGAATGTGCGCTCGCTCCGTTTCTGCAGGCAGCTCCACTTCTTTAAGGGACCTGCCATGGTGGTGCCATTCTGAGCCCCTCCCCACTCAGATGGGAGCCCCATTCTGAGCCCCAGGTGTGTCACAACAGCAGCACCTGACTGTTGTAAGGGTACCCTGGGTGCCGGGTGGGGTGCCGTCTGCAAATGAGGGGTAGATGGCTGCTGGCTGGCCCAGTACCACCTGCCTGCAGCAGCTTAACACCTTTTGTCCCCCTGATCTTCACCCAGCTCCTGAGGGTTCACAGGGGCCAGGACATTCCTTCTCTGATGCAGCAGAGACAGGTTATTAGCTGGCGTGGGAGTCAAAAGACCTGTTTTTTGCCCTTAGCTCCATTTCTAGCTGTGTGATCAAGGACAAGGTAGTGTGTCTGTCTGAGCTCTCACTTCTTCCTCTTTACAATGGGAATTAATAGCGCTTACCCCCTAGAGGTGTCAAGAGAACAAGGTGAGCTGGCAAATGTGAGAACAGTCTGAGGACGGCACATTTGCCAGCTCATCCGATGGGGACCCAGTGTCAGCAAGGCCCTCCAAGGAGAGTCTCCCCACCCTCTCACTTTTCTCATCTCGCTCTCTGCCCAACTCATCCTTCTTCAGGGAGAATAGTCTTCGTGTTGTCCCACACCCTTCCAGGGGTATACCCAGCTCATACCCAGGGCCATCAATTCTGATGACAAGTAAACCCGTGCCAGTTCCTATGTCCTTAGCAAGTGAGGGCCCCAGAGGGCAGGGGTGATGGACAACGGGCAGGAAAGAGAGAAAAGGCTGTCCAGGGCAACAGTCTGCTCCCTCCTGGTCACACCTGTCAGAAGGCACTCAAGTCCCACTCTTCATTCAGTCCATTAACAAAGCTCCAGTGAGGTCCTGTTGTGTCTCCCAGCTCAGCCAGTACCAGAATAATAAGAGCAGCTCAAACTTGGAAGTCCTCACGACATCCCAGACCCCAAGCTCCTCCTGCAGTAACTCATGAAGCCCTCAGGATCACACTTTGAAATGGGTGTGGTTATTACCCCCATTTTACACATAAGGAAACTGTGACTTCAAAACCCATGTTTTTCACACTCGTGGGCCCTAAACCTAGTTCTCTGGACCCTTCCAGCCTAACAGAATCTAAAAGCACAATGTGGGGGGGCCCGAAATAGCATATCATGTTGGAAAGTCATTAGATACAAGGACCCCAAGTCAGGGGCAAAGGGAGGGTGTGATGGGGTGGTGCTGCTGGATGGGCAGTTAACAAGTTTGGGAGGCACCATGGAGAAGCCCACCCCCCACCACCACCAGTTACAGGGGGTGGCGGAAGGAAGGGCGCGGGGCGAATGTAATCTGGAAGACAGGAAGCCAGCCCATGCAAGGAGGCAGCTGGGATAAAGCTGGGATAGGAGCCATAGGAGGTAGGTTTAGCCAGAAGGCATCCACCCTCCTCCCTCCCACCACCAAGGAACCATCCATTCGTAATCGATTATTCATTACGGCAGGACACTGAGCAAGGACTCGGGAAGACGCAAAGATGAGTGAGACAGAGAGCTCACAATCTCGCTGAAGAGACCCCCCCACTCCCAGACCCTACCCAGAGAGGCCAGAAGCAGTGATGAAGCAAGGAGCTGTCCCTCGGCCTTTCCAGTAGAGAAGGAAGGGCCCTCTGGAGTGGGTGCGGCAGGGAACAGGGAGGGGAGGACATTCTAGGGTGGTAAGGGTATGGCACAGGCCGGGATCAGCGAGGAAAAGCCCCACCAAAGCAGCAGAATGTCTGTGAGCGCCTGCGTGAATTCTCCACGACTCCTGCGAGGTGTGGACTTCATCTGAGAGCACCCAAGGAGTGGAGACACATAAAACCAGCGCCCTAAGAAACTGGGCCTGGCAGCAGGGTGACGGAGAGAAAAGGCCCGCGGTTGTGGTCACCTCCAGCCTGCCCAGGACCCTCCAGATGATGAAGGGAGCGCCTGGGGGAACACAGGATCGGAGCCATTGCCTCTCCTGCCCTTTCCTGCCCCTCCATGCACGCAATGCTCAGGAGAGCTAGAAGGTGCAGGCTGTTCTTGAGGATCTCTGAGCATTTGAACAAGGCAGAGCTGTCTTTTCTTTCCTTTTTTTTTAAATAAATAACAAAAAAAGTGAAACCAGCCTAGAATTCCCAGGGGGAGGCAAGAGAAGTGAATACGTGAAATCAACATGCAGCATCTCTGCTGACTGGCAACGGGAAGATGTGGGCTTCAGAGCAAACGCCAAGGTCTCTGCGCCTCCCTGCATTTCTCAGCCTTGCTGGGTGAGACAGAGCTCTGTCTTCGGTCTCCCTCACACACAGTCAGAGCTGACAGCCAACACAGATCCCCTTTCTGATCTGCGTATGACAGGGCAGGCAGCCCATGAGGCACCCGTACCTCTAAGCCTCAGACAAGGCAGCCTGCCCCAGAATTCAGGATCAGCACAACGTGAGGTGTGCTTGCCAAAGAAAAATGTGAGGTGGGCCCCCAGGTAAGAGAAGGCAGGCCTCTTTATCTTTAAACTCCAAATCTTTCATCTTTAAACTCCAAAACTGGGGTCTTCTGCGGCAAAATAGAAAGTGTTTTCATTGCTAAGTGTACCGTTTACTGACAGAGCCAAAAGAAAAGTCCCTGGCAGGGACCCGCGACCCCGGGTGTCCTCATGAAGACTCACTGGGGAGGGGATGTGAGGGGTCCAGTTGCAGGGGAGTCTCCTTGTTGCCATGGAAATTAAACAGCTGGATGTTAAATGACTGTACTGGGCCCAGAATTCAGGAAGGACAGTAACAGTGCCCGTGAGAGGGTCAGGATAGGAAAACACCAGAGGTCATTTTGATTTTTGTTTCGTTTATGAGCCAAACGAAGAGTCTGGCTGCAGTGGGGGGACTCACAGGGAGACAGAGGAAGACTTGCTCACGACAGTCTAAGGAGGGTGGCGGGTACCTCCTTCTCTGGGGAGAGGTTTGCTCTGCCCTCACTGAACTCCCTACCCCCTACTATTTTTTCAGATTGTAATTACAGTTTGTCCATTTGCCTTCCCTTCTGGCCTCCAAGGAGGCAGGGCCTGTGTTGTCATCATTTCCTCACCCC